GTGGTCACGCGCTGAAATAAACTAGTAATAGACCAGATGTACAGGCAGCCACATATCTAGATCTCAGTAACCTGGGGTCGAAGGAAGCAGAAACCACTTGAGAGTCATAGTACTGTGACATTTATGGAACTTACACACACACACACAACCACACCAAGTATGTATATTTACGGAAGTGTATCCCACACATCAGAGTGGATGCCTATGGTAGAGAAGGAGGAATAGCGTTTAGACGTTAAAGGTCAGCAACACTCAGGAGACAGTGCAGGACTGAGGAAGCTTATTTCCCACAAAATGGGAGAGTCCCGCTCTTCTTCCCAGATGTCCCCTTGTTCCAAGACACGAGACCCATCTTGCATTCGTTATCGGAAATGGAGCTCGTGTCAACAGGGGCTGACAGCTGACTTGGCAGGAGGATTTTACTGTGGGGCAGAACCTTCTGGGAGGGCACACCCTCCTTCTGGGGTTCTTGAGAACAGTGGTTCTCAGGGAGGGCTTGCAGGGAGGGAACCGAAAAACACAAAACAAAACCCACAAGGATTGCACAATCTCATCAGAATATGTTCTTGGATCTAGGTGGAATTGACTCACCAGCCCTTATGGGGGAGAAAGAACTAAGGTGTTTGGAGATTCGGAGGTTTTCTGGAAGAGGTAGCATGGGAACGAGGCCATGAAGGACATGTACACTGTTGGCAGAAAAAGGATGGGTCCACCAGGCAGAGAACACAACCAAGGCAGAGGCAAGGAGGCAGGAAAGGTGGGTCTCTTTTGTATACACCTGTAGTTGAAGCTTCCTTGGGGAGCCACGGGGTGCTGTCTAGCTAGGAAAGCAACCAGAAGGCTGCCCATCCCCTGTCCCGTGCCCGGAACTCGCCACAGGGGAAATAAGAAGGGAAAGGAAGTCCCAGGCATGAGGCTGGCCGCAGACCTCTAACCTCCAGCCCTGGCCCGGATCAGGGAAGGGAGACTCATTTCTAGGAGGCCAGGTGCGTGAGGAAGAGTAACATTACTAGTTCCTACCTCATTGGCCTGTTGTGAGCTTCTCTGAGTTAATGTGTATTAAAGCACTTTACACATGGTGTTTGTTGCTATTCCTTTTCTTCTTCAATTATTTCACCTTTTATCTTAAAAAAAAATCCCTACTCCTATTTCCTTTGGGTTAGCCCAGGTGCCAATCTTTAAAAAAAACAAACAAACAAAAAAAGCTAAACACAAGAAAACAAACGCTTACACAAAGAGTAGGCTGAAACTTCCTTAATCTGATAAGCGGAAATTTCTAGGAACCCTCAGAAATGTCCTAGTAGTGAATTCTGAGAACCATTTTTGGTAAAATCAAGAAGAAAAGAAAGATGTCCGTCTTGCTAATTTGCCAATCCAATAAGGAAATGACAAGAAATAAGACCTATAGGTATTGGAAAGGAAGAGTTGAAGTTGAGAGCATTTTGAAGTCAAGATCAATTGTCTAGAAAGTTCTAGAGACTTAACTTCTGGACTAATCTGTAAAGGGAGCAGCTTTCTTATGTCCTAGCAATGAGCATCTGAAAATGAAAGAGGAAACAAATCCTCTTCCCAATATGAGAAAAACCCTTGAGCATTAAAGAATAATCATAACAAGAATACGAATAAAACTGTTAAATGCAGGCTGGCCCGGTGGCATACTGGTTACGTTCATGTGCTCTGCTTCAGTGGCCCGGGGTTCCCAGGTTCAGATCCCGGGTGAGGACCTATGCACCACTCATCAAGCCACGCTGTGGCAGCATCTCACATGAAAAAGAGGGAGATCAGCACAGTTGTTAGCTCAGGGCCAATCTTCCTCACCAAGAAAAAAAACCTATTAAATGCAACTAAGATCTGAACAAATTGAGACACAGATTGAGTTCCCCAAAAGAACATTCAGTATTCTAAAGAGTTTAATTCTTCTCAAATTAATTTATAATATATTAGTTTATAATATATTTAGTGCTGTCTCGTTAAAAATCCTAAATAGATTTTTGACAGACATTTATTGTGATAAAATACACATAATGTAAAAATTTATCATCTTAACCATTTTTAAGTGCACAGTTCAGCAGCACTGAGCACATTCACATTGTTGTGCAAGTTCCATCATCCACCTCCAGAACTTTCTCATCTTCCCAAACTTAAACTCTGTCCCCATTCAACTCTAACTCCTCATCGCCTCCCCCAGCTCCTGGCCCACCATTCTACTTCCTGTCTCTATGGATTTGGCTCTTCTAAGGGCCTCCTTTAAGTGGAATCCTAAATAGTCTTTTTTTAAATCTTTTTCAAACTTTTAATTTTGAAATAATTTTAGATTTGCAGGTGAATTGCAAGGAAAGCACAGTCAGCCCTCTGTATCCACGGGTTGCACGTCCACAGATTCAACCAACCGGATAGAAAGGTCTATGATGGTTGTGTCTGTACTGAACACGCACAGACTTATTTTCTTGTCATTATTCCCTAAACGATTCAGTATAATAACTATTTACCCAGCATCCACATGTATTAGGTATTATAAATATTCTAGAGATGATTTAAAATATATGGATGTACATAGGTTATATGCAAATACTATGCCATTTTCTATAAGGGACTTGAGCATCTGCAGATTTTGGTATCCGCGGGGCTCCTGGAAAAAAATCCCACAAGGACACCCAGGGACGACTATACAGGGAGTTCTGTATACCCTTTACCCAGCCTCCTATAGCATTACATTACTGTCATACATTTGTCGAAGCCAGGAAATTAATATAGGTGCGATGCTGTTAACTAAACTACGGGTTTCGTTTAGCATTCACATTTTTCCCATTGGTGTCCTTCTTCTGTTAGAGGATTCCATCCAGGGATCCCACATGGCATTTAGTCATTGTATGAGCTTTCTAGGGCTGCCATGACAAAGTGCCACAGACCAGGGGGCTTCAACACAGAAACTTATGGACGCATAATTCCGGAGGCTGGAAGTCCACGATCAAGATGTCAGCAGGGTTGAATTCTCCTGAGGTCTCTCTCACAGGCCTCTCCCTGTGTCCTCACATGGTCGTCCCTCGGAGTGTGTCTGTGTCCTCATACCCTCTTCTTATAAGGACACCAGTCATATTGGATTAGGACCCACCCTAATGGCCTTATTTTAACTTAATTATCTTTTAAAACACTATCTCCAAATGCAGCCACATTCTGAGGTTCTGGGGGTTAGAGCTTCAACCTGTGAATTTGGGGGAAAGGGGCAGAATCCAGGTCCTAACAGCCATCATGTCTCCTTAGTCTCCCCCAAACTCTAACAGGTTCCTGGTCTTTCCTTGTCTTTCATGATGTTGACAAGTTTTGAAGAGTTTCTACCATGTGCTATACTGGCTGGTTCTTCATGGGGTTTTTCTGCTGTTTCCTTATGATTAGATTGAAGTTGTGGATTGAGAGAAAGAGTACCACAAAGGAGAATTGCTCTTCTCATCCCATGATATCAGAGAGGAGGGTACAGGATGTCCACATTGATTATCACTGGCCATGTGGTTAAGGTTAACCTTGGTTAAGGCAGTGTCTGCCAGGTTTCCGCCCTATAAAGCCACAACTTTCTTCTTTCCATACCCTATCCATCCATTCTCAACAGGGTTTCATTGCTTCCAAGGACGGTAAAAGTAATCTTAGGTATTACAATGCCTGTAGACCTTGAAAGCTCATCTCTACCCAACAAAATCTTGTTCTTGAATATTTAATATGGGTGGGCAATGAGGGAAAACATTTATAAAGCCTACTTGGTGAAATGAAAAAAAAAGTTGAGAAACTCTGCTGTAGCCCCATGAAGTGAGTCACTAAGTCAGTGCCACTCAAGGGGAGGAGAATTAAGCCCCTCCTCCTTTAGGAATAATTATTAAAAATGTGTGAACATGTGTTAAGACCACCACAGTAATTAATATTTGGGGGTGGGGGGAGATACGTTGAGGTTATGCAAATATCCTGTTCCTACTTAAAGTCAAACCCATTAATTGTAGCATCCGGCTGTGGATATTGCTGGGAGAAATTATTACTGTGGTGTTCCATGGTGATTTCCTATTTCCTTCCCTGCTTGTTAATTAAAATCATTCTGCAAGGAAGATCAAATTGATTATTTTAAAAAGACTTTACATTTTGAAATGGTTTTAGAGTCACAGCAAAGTTGAGTAGAAAGTACAGGGAGGTCCCATATTTCTTATGCCCCTACACATGCATAGCTTCTCCCATTCTCAACATCCTACACCAGAGTGGTACCTTTGTCATAACTGATGTTATAACTAATTATAATAAGAATAATAAGAAGTTTTCACACATTGAGGTATATGGGGAAGCCATTCTGGTTTGGCCTAAAACTCGTTCTTCCCAGAACAGCTGGACTCATGGCCCATCACACATGCCTTGCACATCTGCTTCAAACCTTTTCCCAAAGCAAAGAATGCACTCTTTAAAGATAAGGGTGAACATCTCCCTCTCTCTGCTGCCAATACCAATACTTCTTTGAAAATAAGTTTTTCTTCCCAGAAAACCAAGGTCAAGTTGACCTGCTGGGTACATTCTAAATTTCAGCAAAACATGTCTTTGTGGCTTTGGAAGAAACTGCGGTCCTGTCACACTTCACGTATGTTCTTTGTTCTGAAGTGGTATATAACCATGCTGTAAACCACGCTTCTCCGAGTGCTTTCTTCCCCGGTGGAGATTGCACTTCTGGGCTAGTCCTCAGCTTGGCTCAATAAATGTCACCTTATCTTTCTTCTCTATAGATTGATTATTGATTATTTGTGTAGACATAATTGATGAACCTACATTGACAGATCATAATCACTTAGAGTCCGGAATTCACATTAGGGTTCACTCTTGGTGTTGTACATTCTACAGGTTTGGACAAATGTATCATGACGTGGATCCACCATCACAGCATCATACAGAATGTTTTCACTGCCCTAAAAATCCTCTGTTCTCTGTCCATTCACAAATAGATTTTTGAACATTTTATTGAGAGACTGCCAAACAGATTTTAAAACAAACTTGACAAGTGGGTTATTTGGAATATAATAGAGAGGTTACAACTAGGGAGGGTAACATTTTGGGCTCAGAGGATGAGGAAGGAGGGAGCTTTAGTTTTCTCTGTATAGATTGATGAGTTTTGGTTCCACATGCATAGATTACTTATTCAAAGACATTTAAACATTTAAAGCTGTGGTCATTTAAGAAATCATCTTTAAAAGAAATTGCATAAGAATAGGCAAGAACATTTTGATAGAGAAGAACAATGCCTAGCAGATATCACAGCATATTATAAGCTTGGCTTGGGTTTCCCCAGAAGCAGAGCCTGAGACAAGGATTCAGTTACAAGTGTTTTATCTGGGAAGTGATCCCAAGAAGCACCAGTAGGGGAATAGGAAAGTGGGACAGGGAAAGAAGGAAGCCAATACAGGGGGCATCAATGAGCGAGTGGCTGCTGTGGGCAACTGAGGCTCAAACCCATTAGGGGCCTCTGGAAGATGATCTGGAACACTCCTCTGAGGTATTCTGCTCGTTGGAGGTTGAGTTTGCCAGGAAGCTGACTCTAAGTGAGATGGAGTATAGCATGTAGGTTGTTTATTGTGATATTGTGATTTATAATAAGAAATATATATTTGGAAACAGAGCTCCTTAAACCCTTGGGATTTTCTAAGTGATGAGAGAGGTAAAAGTGTCTTTTGTTACGTTAATGAGGTGACTTTTGGACCACACCAAAGGATAGCAGCTGGTTGCGAGTGGAGTCAACCATGAGATTAGAGGGTTGGAAATTTCAGTCCCATCTCCAGCCTCCGGGTAGAAGAGAGGAGCTGGAGACTGAGTTCAGGCGCCATGGCCAGTGATTTCATCGATCACGCCTGTGAAACGAAGCCTCCACAAAGACCCAAAAGGACAGGGTCCTGAGAGCTTCCGGGTTGGTGAACACCTGGAGACTGGGGGAGAGTGGCATGCTCAGGCGGGGCATGGAAGCTCTGTGCCCTGTCTCCATACTTTGCATCTCTTCCATCTGGGTGTTCCCGAGTTACATCCTTTCATAATAAATTGGCGATCTAGGAAGTAAAACGTTTCTCCAGGTTCTGTGAGCAGCTCCAACAAATTAACAGAACCCAAGGAAGGGGTCATTAGAACCTCCAATCTATAGCTGGTTGGTCAGAAGCACAGGTGACAATCTGGACTTGCAATTGATGTCTAAAGAGTGGAACAGTCTTGTAGGACTGAGCCCTTCACCTGTGGGGTCTTATGCTCTCTCCAGGTAGGTGAAATCAGAATTAGGTTGAACCATAGAACACCCAGCTGGTGTCAGAGAATTGCTTGGATGTGTCAGGAAACAACACCGCCACTGCTTCAGGTTCAAATACTGTGCAGAATCATTTTATTTACGAAGGGGCATCCTTAGGGTCAGCACCTGCGGGAGGGTGCGAATTCTGTGCGATGTTTTTACACCAAGCAATTCTCCAATTCTGACATATCCACCTGGAGGTGGCACCAGATCCCACAAGTTAAAGGGCTCCGTCCCACAAGCCTGATCCACATCAGACGCCGGCTGCAAATGGGGTGCCCAGGCTACCCGCGCTTCTGCCTGATGACTTCAGATTTGGGGGTTCCCATGACCCCCCCTCAGGTTTGGTAATTTGTTAGAAGGCTCACAGAACTCAGAACAACACTTAGCTTGCATTTACTGGTTTATTATAAAGGATGCAAATCAGAGACAGCCCAGTGAAAGCGATGTGCAGGGCAAGGAGTGGAGGGGGAGGGGATGGAGGGAGCTTCAGTCCACTCCCCCCCGCCCTCTGGTCCAGGGGATGCGGCAGCTACACAGAGCCATCCAAACCATGTGCCCTTGGAAGGAAGAGAGAGCAGATCCATGGAACACACAAGCCTGACCGTATCCCACAGCCGGTCACTTTATTAAGCTCCAAGGAGCGAGGTGCCCAGAACCATAACCTCTGAGCCAAGGGAAGCCTTGAAGCATCAGAGGAAGGACAGAGTTGGGCATGGGCCCGTAGGGGATAAAGAAGACGAGAGGGAAGAGTCCTGAGCTTCTGTCAAGGTCCACAGACCAGGAGAAGAAAGACCAGAGTAAAGATGGGTGAAGTTCTGCAGACCCAGCAGAGGTGGGGTCAGAGCCACAGGGCTCGAGGACGGACAACAGCCTTAGGCACTGGAGCACGAGGTTGTGGGCTTTTTGCAAATCCAGAATTTGCTGAGGCTGCATTTGGAGTCGTTCCAGCCTTTGCCCCTAAACTCCGCGCAGTCTTCCTCCCCACTGCTGTTGGGCTCTCCTTCATTCCAATACTTCACGAAGCTGCAAAGACCACGCAGAACGTGAGCCCCCGCCCGACCACGTTCACCGTTTCTAGCTGCCGTTGTCTTGTTGCTTTCCCATCTGCCCTGCGTGCATCTGCCCGACACGCTTTGTTCTGGGAAACCTGATGACACCCCTGAGTCAGTTTGCCTTGGGCTCCTGCTGCCTGGGTTGCCCCCACTTTTGGAGGGAGCCCTCCTCCCTGGGGCAGGCTTTTCAAAAGCAAACCAACCAATCCAGGTACACCCCCAACTGGCTCCTTTATGGGGTCCCACTCTCAGGGCCACTACCCTCATCACCCTGGAGCGAGGTGTCAGTCAACTAGGGACGGCCCCTATGCCCCAGAGCCCGCTGGAATTATTCAGACTAGCCCATCCTAAGCCTGCTTACCCTGCCTCACTCATTCTTTCCAGTGGAAACTACGATAAAGACTCTTGCCCACAGATCCCGCCTCCCTCTGCCTCCTGACCCAGCCTGGTGCCTCCTTGTGTGACCCCCTTGTCACATGACACACATTTCCTCTCTTGGGATGTGTGACTATAACAAACTGACTTTTCAATGGCAATCTGATCTGTTGGCCTTATGGTACCTCACCTAGTCCATTAATACACTATATTTTAAAACGCTCGCCCAGGCTACACGCTCCTCCTGAAGCTCTGATGGTGGAATTTGGGGCACCTGCCGTCCCATCTGAACGTGGATAGGTGGAGCCCACCCATCTCAGCTCAGTGACAATCCCAGACTCTCATGGGGGGTTGAGGGGGAGGATTCCCAGGTAAAGCTCACGTCGGGGGTTTCAGAACCCCGCCCCCACTGGAAAGCGAGGTCCTGCTCCTGAAACTTACCTGGGCAACAGGGGAGAACCGTCCACCCAGTGCCACGTGCCTTCGTGTTTCAGGTCTGAGAGCCCCATCCAGGTCAAGCGGTTAAACCTGGAAGCCTGGACCTGCAGGAAGTTCTAGCGGATGCAGAGAAATCAGGAGGGAGCTCCGCCCCTTGCCCCACCTTCCTGGCTCAGCATCACCACAATCTCTCCGTAGGAAGTTCTTCTTTCCATCTGAGCTCCGGGCTTCTAGGAGACCAGATCCTGAACCCCCACCTGCTATCAGGATGTCTGAGCATCTCTCACATCTCTATCCTGTGAGCACGGATGGTCTGACTTGCAGACATACACGCACAGCTGGTGTCTACTGTGTGTTTGTGTATTTTACGCGTGCTAAGCATGTCCACATGAGTGTCCTCGTGACTGAGTTTAATATGCTGGAACCAGATCGAGCCAGTTTGTGAGAGCTGATCACGCGTGCCTCTTTTCACCTCTGCGTGGAGTGATGTCACGTGACAGCTTGAAATCAGCCACCGTGGGAGAACTTATACCAGGGAAATTAGCAAATGCTCCAAATCAGGACTCATTCTACCCACCCCCCTCCAGGAGCCAGTTGTTAAGCATTTGCCAGCACACCACTGGGGTTTTCTTAAACTTTATGGATTTATGCGTTCCCCAAGACACTCACACATGTTCAGATCTTGACTGTACCCCCTTGCAAGGCGCCAGCCTGGGACCCCCTCATCCCTATCCTTCCCCTCCCCACCTTTCCAAGTGGAGTAAGCAGGTTCTCTTCCCCAAGATCCCCTGTGGTCATCTCCTCCCCAGGGGGCCAGTGGTCAGGTGTACGCCCCAGGCCAGGTGCGGGTCCCCCGACAGGCATACCTGCTCCTCAGCGCTTTCAATGACTACAAGTTGAGCCTCCACTTCCTCACAGGCAGTCACGGAGTCGTGCCAGTTGAGTTGCGAGTTGGAGAAGAAGTAGCAATTTCCTTGGAAGGACCGCCAGCCCCAGGGACAGGGGTGGCACAGAAGGGCTGTTGTGGGAGGCGGGTCAGGGCTGGGACCCAGATCGGGATGCCCCCATCTCTGTATCCGCCTGGAGAGTTGGGGACTCTGCTTGATTCTACACCCCACAGGGGCCGTTCCCCTCTCTACTTCCCGAGACCCTCCTTCGGCCCCAGGAAGACTCAGGAGTCCTAGCCCCCATCTCCTCCGGACCTGGAGCTCAGAACAGGAGACTGGCTTAATTTCATGCCTACTGTGTGCCTGGCCCCCCCGGGAACACCGAGTGCCATCATCCTTATTACTCTGGGTTCCTGTTTCGCAGGTGAGGAGACAGGTTCAGAGAGGAGCAGTGACTCACGCAGAGTCACACCACCCCGGAGACCCTTCCAGGCTCCAGAACCCTGGCATTCGGCCACTCACCGATTCCAGCCTTCAGCTGGGTCAGTATTTGCTGGATCTCCTCCTGCTTCGAAGGCTCCAGCCCCTGGGACCTGGGGACCTTGGAGACTGTGCCAAGAAATTAAGAAAGTGCAATTATTAAACGCCTACTGTGTACCATGCCCTGCACTGGGCCCTCAGGGTCATTGTTTCTGAGAGTCAAGGTCTTGGTTAACCCCCTTTGGAGATGAGGAACATTGACAGCCAGAGAAGGCGGCACCAGGAGGGCAGGTGGAGCAGGGACTGCCCCCTCTACTTTCCTCCCCAGACCCTGCATCAGAGGTGGGAGGGGCTGCAGGAGAGGCCACCCCAGAGCTGACAGGGCGACCCAGAGGGACCAGAGTCCTGGCTTTCACCCCACCTCCCTCCTGGACCTGGACCCCCCTAGGCTGTGTCTGCAGCCAGAGTGGAGGCCTAGGAGCCCTCCACCCTCGGGGCCTGCCGCTGACCTTGGACAAGGATGGCCACCAGGAGCCCAGCGAAGACCATGAGGGAAAGGAACAGGAGCACCAGGGGGGCCCGGCCCTGCCCCCGACACCCTGCGGGAGGAAAGATGGATGGTCCCAGCACACCTGAGTCCCTGCCTCAGCCTGCCCCAGGGACCGTGTGTCCCCCAGCCCCCACCTCCCCAGGACCCAGCTGTCTGGCAGTAGTCATTTCCTGCTCCCTGTCCCCTCATCCTGTCCTACCTGGGAAGTTCTTGAAGCCATGACTCTTTTGGAATCCAAAGTCTTTGTAGGAAAGTCTGTTCCCGCTGGTCATCAGCTCTTCGTCATCTGAATGAGCAGAGCACTGACTCAGAGCCCAGGGCTAGCCATCCCCCTGCCCCCTCCCCAAGATCCCAGAGTCCCCACCCCGCCTCACCCAGTGCCATCGGTTCCTTGGGGTCACGCTGGTCCATCCACTGTCTCCAAATGCCTCGTCTGGACCCCTGGGAGCCACAGCTCTTTATTTTCCACTCTGTGATGCTTGATCCCTGAAGCTACTTTCGTTCAGGAAGAGAAAGAGGGAACTGGGTAGTGACATGTTCATTAGAAAGGCTAAAGGGACAGAGTAGAGCTTCTGACATGAAATGAGATGGATCTTCCCAGAATTCCATGGGGTGCTGGGGGGGGGGGGTGATCTCGGGTCAACAGCAAGAAGGACTGGTTCATCCTGGTGTGGCTGAGCTGTGGGACGCTTTTGATGAAATCCAGTAACATGGAGAGTAAAGCTGGTTTGTTGTGCCTCCTGCACTTACGGCAGGGGTGGGCAGAAAATTCGCCTCATCTTCCTGGAACCATCATGCCCTCTGACCTCCATGCTATGCTGTCTCAGCTCCCTGGCATCCTCCTTTATGCTGATTTCTGCTGACTTTTGGAGTTGGAGCTGAATCATCATTCCTTATGTTTATTTAATGCCTATTATAGTTGGGCATTTTTCTAACTACTTTATATATGAATTCATTTAATTTTCCTACCCCTGGGTAAATAACATGACCTCCACTTTACAGATAGGGGAAACTGAAGCACAGAGAGGTTAAGTCACTGGCCCAAGGTCACACAGCTGGTAAATAGTGGAACTGGGATTTGAACCCCAACAGTCCACCTCCACAGTCCACACTATTATCCAAAGATAGCAGATAGTATTAAGGAGGAAACAGAAAGAGTCATAGAATCTTTATTCATAATAGCTTTGAATTGGAAAGACCCACCAGCAGGTGACTGAAAAAAAACTGTGGCATATTCACACAGTGGAATATTACATAGCAATGAAAAAGCAAAATACATGAATGAATCCCACAAGAGAGCAAAAGAACCCAGACATAAAGAGGACGTACTATAAGATTTGACTTTATGTGAATCAAGAACAGGCAAACTAAGGTTTGGTGGGACTCAGAATGGAGGTTACCTGGAAGAGGGGTGAGGATCGACCAGGAGGGGGATGCCTGGTGTCTTCTGTGTGCTGCAAATATTCTAGATTTTGGTCCGAGAAGTGGTCACATAGGTGTACTCACATGTAAAAGTTTCTTGAGCTGTACACTTCAGATAGAATGACATAGATCTATGCAGCATCCCCCGTTCTGCTTTCCACGGTTTCAGCGATGCATGGTCAACCTCGGTCTGAAAATACTAAATGGAAAATTCCAGAAATAAACAATTCATAAGTTTTAAATTGTGCACTATTCTGAGTAGTGTGATGAAATCTCGTGCTGTCCCACTCTGTCCCACCTCAGATGTGAACCATCCCTTTGCCCAGAGTGTCCACACTGTATGCGCCACCTGCCAACTTGGTTATCAGATCGGTTCTCATGGTATCGCAGTGCTTGTGTTCAAGTCACCCTTATTTTACTTAATAATGGCCCTGAAGAGCAAGAATAGTGATGCTGGCAATTGGGACACGCCAAAGAGAAGCCATAAAGTGCTTTCTTTAAGTGAAAAGGTGAAAGTTCTCAACTTAATAAGGAAAGAAAAAAAATCGTGTGCTGAGGTTGCTAGGATTGGTGCTGGCACCGATATCAGTTCTCCTACGTTAAACCCAGCGTGTATGGGGTTAACATCAAAGCGCTCACCCCCTTGCCCTGCTTACTCCCCCACTTCCTGGAACCAGAATCCACCCTCCACCACGGAGGCAGACAACCAAGGACAGCCACCTGCGGATTCCCTTGTCTTACCACTTTCCTCTCTGCAAGCAGCCGCACAAGACCACATGCAGGCTGGTGGGAAAGCGCCAATCAGCGAGGCCACAGCCTCCCCTCCCTACAAGCAGCTGCATTCCATACAACCTTTCAAAACCCTGGCCTCCCATCTTCTGGGGAGATGAGATGAATTTGAGGGCTCACTTTCGTCTCCCAGCTGACGTCACCTGAAATAAAAACCCTTTCCTTGCCGTAAGCCTGGCGTTCCAGTTTCTTATTTGGTGCCTCTTGTGTGGCAGGTAAAGAATCTATGTCTGCGGTAACAGGATCTACGGTAAGAGCGAATTTTGTATCTGTAAAATCAGGAAGAAGGAAAAAGAAATCCGTGCTGTTTTTGCTGTAACACCTCAAATGTGCGTGTATAGGAAAAAGCATAGTATATACAGGGTTTGGTACTATCCGTGGTCTCAGGCATCCACTGGGGGATCTTGGAACAAATCCCCTGTGGATGAGGGGAGGACTACTGTACACACACACACATTGCACCAAAGCCAGCTTCCTAGATTTAACTATAGTTATGTGAGATGTGATGAAAATAACAAGAAGTTTTCACATATTGACGTATATGGGGAAGCCATTCTGGTTTGGCCTCAAACTTGTTCTTTCCAGAGCAGCCAGACTCATGGCCCATCACACATGCCTTGTACGTCTGCTTCAAACCTTTTCCCAAAGCAGAGAACGTGCTCTGTAAAGATAAGGGTGAACAGCTCCCTTCCTCTGACTCCCATCCCAGTACTTCTTTGAAGATAAGCTTTTCTTCCCAGAGGACCAAGGTCAAGCTGACCTGCTGTGTACGTGCTCAACTGCAGCAAAACGTCTTCTTGTGACTTTGGGGGGAAAATATTGTATTCCCATCATGCTTGACGTGTGTTCTCTGTTCTGAAATGGTATAGGACCACGCTATAAGTCATACTTCCATAACGTGCTTTCTTCCCTGGTGGAGGCTGCACTCCCAAGCTAGTCCTCAGCTTGGCTCAGATAAACATCACCTTACCTTTCTAATCAATACGTTGGTTATTGGTAATTTTCATCAACAGAGGTAACCATCGGGGAAAGCTGGGTGAAGGGCACACGGGACCTCTCTGTACTGTCGTTACAACTTCCTGTGACTCTACCATTATTTCAAAGTGAAAAACTAAGAGAAATTTTAACAGTTAAAGAAGAGTATTTTTTAAATTTAAGGTCATTTGTGTGTGTGTGTGTGTGTGTGTGTGTGTGTGAGGAAGATTGGCCCTGAGCTAACATCTGTTGCCAATCTTCTCCCCCTTTTTTTCTCCCCAAAGCCCCAGTACATAGTTGTATATCCTAGTCGTAAGTCCTTCTGGTTCTTCTATGTGGGACGCCACCACAGCATGGCTTGGTGAGTGGTATATAGGTCCACGTCCAGGGTCCAAACCTGCGAAGCCTGGGGCCACCAAAGCGGAGCACGTGAACTTAATCACTACACCACCAGGCCAGCCCTATAATTTAAGGCTATTAAACATAAAATATTCACATATGAACTAAAGTTTGCACTCGCTCAATGAAAGTATTACACTGAGATTTTCATTCTTTTCCAAATGCCATTGTATTTTTTTGTTAACATGAATTAAAAACTTCAAACGGTCACCTAGAATGATGCAATTAGAGTCAGTCCAATTTTGGGTCTTTGTCCACCTGTGTAATCCCTGAGACGTTGTTATGTTTTTCAAATATACCTTTTTTTTTTTTTTTAAAGATTGGCACCTGAGCTAACAACTGTTGCCAATCTTCTTTTTGTTTTCTGCTTTTTCTCCCCAAATCCCCCCAGTACATAGTTGTATATTTTCATTGTGGGTCTTTCTAGTTGTGGCATGTGGGAACTTAACCACTCGGCCACGGGGCCAGCCCCTCAAATATACCTTTTAAATAGGAGAAACTGTAAGATTGCAGAGGTTGGAGACTGGAATTGTGCCCTAAGAGAACACCAGTGATTCAAAATTTGTACGAACTCACTCTGAAAGCTGTTCATAGCTCAACATTGCTAATCATCGGAGAAACACAATTCGAAACCACAACAAGACATCACCTCACATCCATTAAGAAGACTACTGTCTAAAAAAAAAAAACAGAACAGAACAGAACAAGCGTCAACCAGGAATTTATGTGGAGAAAACACTTGTGAGTTGCTGGTGGGAATGTAAAATGGTGCAGCTGCTGTGGGAAAAACTCCAGCTGTTGCTCAGAAAATTAAATTTAGAATCATCCTATCACTCAGCAATTCCACTTTTAGGTATACACCGCTAAAATTTGGAAACAGGAATCAAATAGTTACCCATACATCCATGTTCATAGAGCATTATTCACAATTGCCAGAAGGTGGAAATGACCGTAAGTGTCCATCAACAGATGAATAAATAAACAAAATGTGGTCCAGCCATACAATGGAATATTATTCAGCCTTCAAAAGGAATAAAGTCCTGACACACGCTACAACACAGATGAACCTTGAAAACAACACGTTCAGTGAAATAAGCCAGTCACAAAGGACAAATGGTGCGTGATCCCACTTGTAGGAGGTCCCTAAAGGAGTCATATTCATGGAGACAGAAAGTAGGACAGTCGGGGCCAGGGGCTGGGGGAGGGAGGGGGAGTTAGTGTTTCATGGGGATGGAGTTTCAGTTTGGGAAGATGAGAAAGTTCCGGAGATGGATAGTGGTGATTGGCTGCACAACATTGTGAATGCACTCTTAAAAATGGTTAACATTGGGGCCAGCCTGGAGGCGCAGCGGTTAAGTTCACAGGTTCCACTTTTCGGCGGCCCCGGGGTTCGCTGGTTCAGATCCCGGATGTGGACATGGCACCGCTTGGCACACCATGCTGTGGTAGGCATCCCAAATATAAAGCAGAGGAAGATGGGCATGGATGTTAGCTGAGGGACAGTCTTCCTCAGCAAAAAGAGGAGGATTGGTGGCAGATGTTAGCTCAGGGCTAATCTCTGCGCCCCCCCAAAATTGTTAAAATGGTCAATTTTATGTTATGTATATTTTACCATGACTAAAAAAGTTTTTTTTTTTTTAAACTGTGTGTTGGTGAATCTGCAGGTGTCAGCGGTTGATGGTACGTCTGGAGTTCTGAGAATGAACTTCCATGCAGGAGAAAGTAATTAAAGTGTGCTCATTTGAAGCTCACGTACAACGCTATTAAAACTCAACAGTCGCTGGTGGGTCGTGGAGAGTGACTGCTAATAGGTACAGAGTTTCTTTTTGTGTTGATAAGAATGTTCTGTGGACCCGCCCGGTGGCGCAGCAGTTAAGTGCACACATTCTGCTTCTCGGTGGCCTGGGGTTCACCAGTTCAGAT